ACCCTGGGCCACTGCAGCAAAGACTCAGCCTTAGTACATGGGGAACCAGATCTACCAGGAGAGCTCTCCCGGTGTCCCATATGTTCATATATCTTGGTGCTAGTTATAATCCAGGTTGCTGGTTGGTCCAGGCTAAATATACTATACTAGCAAATCATATAACAACAAAAAGAATGACTAGATAACCTTCTTGACTTGTTCATCAAGACAAAGGTCTGCATTAAATCATCATTGGCGACCGTAACAAGGGCTGATTCGGTGCTGTGAAGGGCTCTAAAACCTGACTGAAGAACAATGATGATTTATTAACTATTAGTAAAGTCATTCATTACTTATAAACCCAATACGAGTGTAATTATAAACTGTATTGGGAAAGTGGTACCATAGTTTCCTCAGTGACATTTCATTGTATGTGAGCTCTAAGCATTGTGCTGGAGAAGGTAATCATGTCGAATCTGCTCTCCCCGCAGACTGGGTCGTACTGGGTGAGTCAAATCCCACATTTACATCACACATCCTTCACCTACAAATCATATTATATGAAGAGGTTGCTAACTTTCTTTTTGCCACTTCAACAGGCGAAAGAGAAGAAGCCCAGATGGTGTGTTCCGGGAAGGAATTTCGTCTGCCCGTGTACTCGACATCCAGAATGGTGACTTTTACACCAAACTCTGAGGGGCCGAGACGTATCCTGCTGGACAAAACCACTGTGAGTGTGCAGATGCTTGTGTTTTTGTTTGTTTGTTGCATGTACAGGTTTCCAAAACCTATTTACTTTACATCTGCAGGTGAAGGACCCAAGGTTTGAGTGGACCAGAGATAAGATGTTAGTCCTGAAAGAAGTGACTCACGGTGATCAGGGACTTTATGCCATCAAACTGTCATCTGGATTCACCTACGAGACTGTTCGTTTGACTGTTTCAGGTGCGACAGTTTCCTCTTCTTGTTTTTCAATGTAAAAATACCCCGAGTAAAAGGAGTAAAAGTACTTAAGTATAATATTACTCTAATCTGACGTTTAGAGAGGAAATGTCTCTTTGATTAAAATGTTAATAACTCATAGACCTCAGAAATGTAACAAGGGGCGGCAAATAGACACTGCTTTTTTGTCAGGGGTTACAAGGCAAAGATTTGGGAACTCCTGGTTTAATCTTCAACAATGCATTCTATATTTGAAGTGCATCATGTGCTTTCTTTTTGCAAGCAAGTTAGTCTTAAGAGTATTTAGTAACTACAACTTTCAGTGTAATAGATTTAAAAGTATCCTCTGACATGTAGTAAGTGGAAGTATAAAGCAGCATAAACTTGAAACACTTTGAGTAAATATACTTTCCATTTCTGTCGATCATTCCTTCTGCCTCTTTCTGATCCCTCACTCCTTCATCCTGCTTCAGAGTGCATTAAGTCCTACCACAGAAACTACGGGGAGAACTTTGAGCACAACATCCCTGAAGATGGCTCCCTACTAGAGTTTTCTCCCCGGGGTGCTCCACCTGAGGCAATGCCGGTTGTGCTGTGGAACCGGACAGACCCTGAGACCAGCAACGTGGGGCGGGGGCACCTGCTGCGGTCCGGGAAGGTCTGGGTGGCTGAGAGAGTGACGCAAGCTGACCAAGGCAACTACACTGTGAGAGACAGCCTGGGGAAGGTCGTGTCCCGCAGCACCCTCACTGTCCGCGGTGAGCAGAGACAGAGGATGAGGATGAGATGAGAGTTTTCAGACTGACGGATGAATTTCTTCTTAACTTTAGGATCTTGTCAACTGTAACATTTATATTTTATCTTTCCCTTTCCATTTGACACCCTCTCATCTGCACTCCTTCCTTTGTGTTCATGATCCTGCATGTGGATGCAGGGCGCTCCTTTAATGTCACCCGCTTCACCAAGGAGTCTCTAAACCTGCCCCTCTTTCTTCCTATCCCTCATGCCCATCTCATTTTTACCCCCACCCGATACCCTGATGAATCCTCCCTGGGCCCTTTTGACCCCAAACCCCCTCGTGGCCCCGTGCAGCTGATCCGCGAGGGCCAGATAACGGACCACGACATGCGCTACAGGGGCCTCATCTCTCTGGGCAGGAACGGCACCATCAATGAGGTCGTCATAGCGAGGCTGACCTCAAGGCACGATGGGCTGTATGAAATCAGAGATGGGAATGGCAACCTGGTGTCCTCCACTTTGTTGCAGGTGATCGGTGAGTGACAGCATGTGTTTAAATGTTGTTTTGTTGTATCTGAATTATTTGCTTCCTCACACTCGCCATTCATACTGACATCCGTCCCATTTCTGTGACTCTACTCTCTCCAGAAAGGGGAGGCAGATGGCGAGCACTTCTCAAGTCCATCACTGTCCCTTCTGGCATGTTTGTGTCCCTTGCTGGTTTCATCCTGTTCATGAAGCGATACCCATACTGCAGCCTCACGCAGATCATCGCTTGCCTCAGAGGACACCGCGCGCCGCCAGCCAACCCTCCGAGGGTCAACATCCAGGTGAGGAAATCAGGAGAGCCTGGTTGGTGGAGCTATTGGCTGAGGTAGTTGTGCAGGCAGGAGAATTAAAGGTCCAGTCTGTAACATTTAGGAGGATCTATTGTTAGAAATGGAATATAATCATATGTATGTTTCCATTAGTGTACAATCACCTGAAAATAAGAATTGCTATGTCTTTGTTACCACCATGTTTCTACAGTAGCCCAGAACAGCCACAATAGTTTCTCCTTTAGGCTTGGAAAGGGAGGGTGAAGCAAAGGAGTTGCAGTCAACAACTACACCGCTAGATGGCACAAAATCCTACACACTGGTCCTTTAATACATAAGGTCTAAACTTTTAGCTTCTTGTCATGTTCCAAAAATAAATCTGGTCTTGCCTCGTGTTGGTTATTAGATAATGTATGCCATGTGAGTAGTTAGAGAGAGTATGGAACATAAGTACCCATATGGCATTGAAAGGACCATTACAGGGCGACCTCTTTGGCTTTTGGAGCTTTACTGCATATGTGATTTAATCCATGTCACAGCGTTTTTATACTGTAATCAGAAACATAGCAAATGTAGATGCTTCCATAGAGAGTGTGTGGGAAGAGGAGGGGCGTGAGAATCTATGAGAGATTGTGGACAGTGTTAGACACTCTCCACCATCATCAAAACACCAAATGAGGAAACGCTTGGAGAATCTATGACAAGGAGCAATAAAGTGGTTCTTGTGGATCGTGGTGTCTAGTTTCTGTTCTTTTTTTCTTATTTAAACACCCATCTGTAAATCAGATGATATGTGATATGGTTGCACATTTCAGGTACCTAAAAAACCTAAAAGAAAACAAAGCATGTTTGACTCAAATCAGTTGTGGGTTCCAAAGGAGAAAAATAAAGAAAACTGTATTGTTTTTCGCCCTAGCAGTCTCTACAGCTGTGTTCCCAAACCAAGTGGCTGTGCTGAGTTTTATGTGTCTGTTTGTCTGTGCAGGACTACAGCCAACCCAGCACTCAGCCCTCAGGCTTCTACAGTCACTCTCAGCAGCCTGGAACACCAAGAAAATGGACCCCAAGAGCCAGTCCGACTCACTCTGTAAGGCCGATTAACTGAATTAAATTAGTGTAAATTGTGTCTGTGTGCATGAACCATATGTGCTTGTGTGCTGCTGTTTCTATTTCCAGGGTTACAGTCCGTTAATCGTAGGAACTCCAAGAGCTCAGAACCAGGAAGGACAGCAATTGGCAGCTGAGAGCTCCCCAATTCATAATTCAACTACTGAGGTAATACTACACTCAAACTGTGAGTATTTTTCCGTTAACAGAGTGAAATATCTAATATTTTAAACATATGTCTTAATTCCTTCCTAGCAGGACACATCTAATGAGGAAGAGAAAGGGATTTCCTTTCCAGTGCCTGGGGCTTCAGACTGCCTCCACTCCTCTGAGGACTGTGTCCAATTCCAGATTAAGAAAGCTGGGAACAAAGAAAGGTGGAGCAGAACACAGGAGTACTTTTCCACACTGCCACTAGACATGGACACCTCTGCAACCACCAGCGTTTACACTTCGGAAAAACTGAACTTCTAATAAAACACAGAATTGGAGCTGAAATGATGGAAGAAGAAACAGAGGGCACCGATTAAATTACAGTTTAAGATTTTCAAATGGAGTGAAGCTGTTACGGAAAAAGAAAAACCTCACCTGTGCCTTTTGCATCTAAGCTTAGTTTTAATGGTTCAGTATCAATATTGCATGTCACTTTTTTCATGTAATTTTATCTGAAGCATGAGTTTGAGCATCAGCCTTCCTATCTCATAATATATTTCTTGACACCGTTGATGATGCTCCTGAAATCTCCTGCTGTTACCTACCTCCAGACCCTCAGGACCAATATGAGCTGGATTTTTCTAAGTGATGGTACATGTATGTTTGTGAGAGTGTTGTGATCTCTAGGGCTACTAGAAATTAGAGTTGTGATACAAAAGTTTGCAAAAGGGAATTCTTAAGTACTGTACAGTAATAGAGAGTTAGTTGGTGTGTTTTTCTCTATCCACAATGTTAACCATTCCTGGCTGCAACAACATTTAATTATTATGTTAAATGTCTGTACTGCAGTTCATTGATTTTTGCAATGATATAGTGTATTTGCCCTTGAGGTAACTGTAGTAATAATTATGTAAAAAGTAACATGTTCCACCAATATCCTATTAATCTGTGTACAGATAGATAGAGATAGATAGATACTTTATTTATCCCGAGGGAAATTCAAGTACAGGATGACATTGAATCACCAAATCTCTCTAGTGACAAAAGAGTTTGACTGCTGCTTGTGATATTTTTGGACTATAAAAATGTCATCTACCAAACAATAAAATATATCTTTAACACACACATTTGAGGTGGTTTTCTCTAATATACTGTATGTTTGGCTGTAACAAAGCATTATTTCCATTTACTGATTCATCTGTTATATTTGTATATAAAATGACAATCGTTCCAGGCCCCCTCCCACCTTGCAGACCTGCTCCGTCGCCACACTCCTTCCCGAAGCCTTCCGGCTTTCTGATGCTTATAACCTGCGCGCCTGTCTCCACCACTGAGGGACCAAGCATCGTACCTGGTGGCGACAAAGAGCCTTCCTCCATAGCTGCCCCCTCCCTCTGAATCTCCTCCTCCCCAAAAAAATCAGAGACTGTGCTGGATCCGCATCTCCGACTCTTCAGAATTCACTGCCTCAAAATCCCCCTCCCAATTTTTTCAGAAGTGCTTTTTAATGAATAATTCCATATGTTGAGTGTTGTAGATATAGCTATAATTTCTTAGTGCGTTGTAGTTTTATTACTGTTTTTCTTATTTTTTTTTTTCCTTTTAACTTATGTAAAGTGTCTTTGAGTTTCTTGAAAAGCGCTCTATAAATTAAATGTATTATTATTAATAATAATAATCCAAAACCTAAGACCAAAGATATTCAACAGATTTTAACCCACAGCTACTCACTAATAAAAAAAGCTGTACATTAAGAAAATTACTTGATAAATGTAAAAAATTGTTGACATTTAATTTTTCTATCTATCGATCCGTGATTTCTGCACTAGTTACCGGTGTATTGATCAGAGCAGTGTGTGTGTCCCGCCGGTAGAGGGCAGCGGAGGACCTGTGAGCCTCAGACTCCCACAGACTGGAACAAAGCGCAGAAGAAGAACCCCGTTTGTAGCGGCAATGAAAAGACAGCGTGCTACTTACAAATTGAGTAAAACATAAGTAAAGTCTACAATTAGCGGCAATAACTCTCAAAATACAGGACGAGCGTACTTCAACCTCCGGAAGAGAGTAAACGGACTGCGTCGGGAAGATGGCTTTGGTTTGTGCGAGTAAGTTGAAGTTGAATTCATTCATACGACGGAGGCAGCGCGCTAATGCTAAGGCTAACGTTAGCGGCCACGCAATGCCGCCTGCCACTGAGGGATAGTTCGCTTTATTGTTTGTATCGTGTGGTTGTTGTTTGTTTTAAAAGCTGTATTTGCATTTTCTTCTAGTCTCCAACGAGGTCCCGGAGCACCCGTGTGTCTCCCCGGTGTCCAACCAGGTGTTTGAACGCAGGCTGATTGAGAAGTACATCGCAGAGAATGGGACGGACCCGATGAACGGACAACCCTTGTCTGAGGAACAGCTCGTAGATATCAAAGGTAAAACTGCTTCTGTGTGATACGTTTGGTTAGGGGTTAGGTGTGAGGTTAGTGTGAGCAGCTGGAGATCTGCACTCATAAATGTAAAAGTATAGTTTTATGCAGCAACCCGGTAATGAATCCTCGTGGAGGTTATCATGTCCAGGTTTGTTTAAAGTAAAAGGTTGATTCATCTTGTGTGTTCAGTCTGACGTGGTGTTAAACTGTTTATTTCTTAATTCTTAATAAATGCTTTGGTTTATGAAATGTGACCATCACAGTATCTGAAAGGCCGACAATGATTTCATGGTTGTTTAATCCAACAAATATTCAGTTTGCGGTGATATAAGACAATGAAAAGCAGCAAGAAGCTGTAATTAGAGAATGTTTGCCATTTTTTGCTTTTAAAATGAATATTCGGTTATCAAGATAATTGAAGGTTGTTGCAACTTTTCTGTTTTTTTTTTAGTGTCCCATCCTATTAGACCAAAGGCACCGTCAGCAACAAGCATCCCCGCTATTCTCAAGTCCCTTCAAGATGAATGGGTAAGTGTAGTTAACCACCGAGGAGAAATCCACAACAAAACACCTTCATCGCACTGATAATATCACCCACAATTTATGTTTTGTGATTTTTCTGTTTTGTTCTTTGAAGGAAGTTGTTCACCAATATTCTGCACAGTAATAAACCTTAGTTGAGGAATATACCAGTCTTATAGATGACTTTGTGCTTTAGTAGAGCGCCGTGCAACTTGACCGAAAGAGACATAAAATGCACCAAAAAATGAAAATATCTTCAGGAATTACGTACCAAGTTGATTATTTTGAAGTTTATACGAGATGTTCCTGAACCCTGTTTTCTCTTTTATGCGCTAGGATGCTGTTATGCTTCATAGCTTCACCCTGCGGCAGCAGCTGCAGACTACTCGTCAAGAACTGTCACACGCCCTCTACCAGCACGATGCCGCCTGCAGAGTCATCGCTCGACTCACCAAAGAGGTCACCGCTGCGAGAGAAGGTTGGTTGGCAGCAGTTTGTGTGTCCTCTGTTCACATCAGCACTCTCCAGATTCTGCTCCGCTCTACACCCACATGGTTTTATAGATTATATTATGAGAGCATGTTTTTCTTATGGCGTCCATTTCCTCTTTACAGCTCTGGCCACACTCAAACCCCAAGCTGGATTGGTTGCCCCTCAGGCAGTTCCCACCTCTCAGCCGGCTGCAGCAGTGAGTGATCAACCTCTTATTCCAGTTAATAAGATACTGAGAAATGCTTATTGTATTTTTTTGCTGTACGTCTCCTAACAACCTCTTATTCTGCTGTCTGTATCTCAGGGTGCTGGTGGAGAGCCTATGGAGATTAGTGAACAGGTGGGAATGACCCCAGAGATCATCCAGAAGGTAAGATTACTTATTTACCTACATAAGTCATTATTTGGCTATAAGCTTTTCCATTTTCTTTAGCAAGTCTTACGATTGTTTCAATATGCTTTTTCTCTGTTTTCAGCTCCAAGACAAAGCTACCATCCTCACTACAGAAAGAAAGAAGGTATTATATGGCTCTTTTATCAACATTATGCCTATTTCTGTTGTAATATCGCAATGTTGTGTGACACTTGTTCTTCTATAACAGTTGTGTTACTATGTCATATATACACCCTTTAACATCTGTATTTCTCCAGAGAGGAAAAACTGTCCCAGAGGAGCTGGTTAGAGCTGAGGATCTCAGCAAATACCGCCAGGTGGCCTCGCATGCTGTAAGTGTAGATTAGTGTCTGTTGAAGTATAAATTACATTTTCTTACCCCTTTAATCAGAAGGCTGAAACAGTGAGTTGATTGAGTTGTTGTCAACATGTGCTCCTTGTTGTCTTCAGGGTCTTCATAGTGCTAGTGTCCCTGGTATTCTGGCTCTGGATCTGTGTCCCTCAGACACCAACAAAGTTCTCACCGGTACATTGATTTCATCCAACGCTCAGCTGCATCTTTTTGTCACTTGTTTACACATTACAAGTCATTTTGAAGGCTTTTTATTTGATATCCTCTCTCTGGTGTTCTTCAGGTGGAGCTGATAAGAACGTGGTGGTGTTTGACAAGAACGAGGAGCAGATTGTGGCGACGCTTAAGGGTCACACCAAGAAGGTCACCTCGGTCATTTACCATCCATCCCAGGTAATGTTTTCTTTGTCGCAAACAAAAAATAGTCAAATCTTTATTCCAATAAACCAGTCCTGTGTCTGCACTGCTCACTGTTTGAATTATTCAGAGGCCTGCTAAGTAGGATCTGATATTTTTACTCATTCTCCTTTTTTTTTTCATCCCTTTCTGTCTTTCCCTCCAGTCTGTGGTCTTCTCTGCATCTCCAGACAACACCATCCGTGTGTGGTCCGTCGCCGGGGGCAACTGTGTCCAGGTGGTACGTGCCCACGAGGGAGGCGTCACTGGACTCTCCCTACATGCTACTGGGGACTACCTGCTCAGCTCCTCTGAGGATCAGGTGTGTGTTTGCTTGATAAAAAGACATCAAAAAGACTTCATGCTGTATTTAACACTGAAGGAAAAGTGATCTCTTCGCAGGTTCATTGCGTCACCACACTGACCTTTTACCATTTTGTTTCCTCACTGTCCTGCAGTACTGGGCCTTTTCTGACATCCAGACTGGTAGAGTCCTCACCAAAGTCACTGATGAAAGTGCTGGCTGCGGTAAGTGTCTCTATGTTGACTTGTGTGGCAGTCTCAGCAAGTGTCTCCCTGCTCCCCGTGGTTAATGTTTCTGTCTGTCCCTACAGCTCTCACCTGTGCTCAGTTCCACCCTGATGGTCTTATTTTTGGCACCGGGACGGCTGATTCCCAAATCAAGATCTGGGATCTGAAGGAGCGCACCAACGTGGCCAACTTCCCAGGCCACTCTGGTCCCGTCACCTCCATTGCTTTCTCTGAGAACGGATACTATCTGGCCACAGGTTAGAGCTACTAACAGCAGTGTCACACTGTTGCTGCTAATGTTTGCAGGTGGAAAAGTTGCCGAAAAATACACACAAGTCATATTAAGATGTACACTGACCAACTAAGCATCTACAGTCCTCGATTTTTGGAAACTATAATTAATTGTATTTGTTGTAAATAACCTAACATCCTTGTCTTGTGCTGTGCTCCAGGTGCCCAGGATAGCTCTCTGAAACTGTGGGATTTGAGGAAACTGAAGAACTTCAAGACCATCACCCTGGACAACAACTATGAGGTAAATAAATGCAGCTGTTTCTCCTATGAAGAAGTAGTTTGAAGTTTTTTGGAAGTTTGTTTGCTTAGAGTTCAAGTTCTATTTGTGTCTGTGTGAGACAAACCAGATCAAATGTAATAATTAGTCAAATCTAAAGGTGCTGGTAGGTGGATTGTTTTTAACTTTGGACACAAGCATTAATCTTCGCATCTGACTCTCTACAACAAAGCAAATAAACACATTACATGTCACTCAGAAGAGTCTCTCAGGAGACACTAAGATGGTTTTGAGCACACTGGCTGTGATCTTTTCTCTTGTCCTTGCTGTCATTCCTCTGTTCTCCAACCTCTCATTCCTTTCTGTTTTTCTGTTTCAGGTGAAGTCCCTCGTGTTTGACCAGAGCGGTACCTACCTCGCTGTAGGAGGATCCGATATCCGTGTCTACATCTGCAAGCAGTGGTCTGAGGTCCTTAACTTCACAGGTGAGGAGGAGGAGGAAATGTCC